CAGTAGCAGTAGCGGTAGCGGTAGTATTCGTAGCCGTCGTCGCAGCAGCAGCAGCAGAGTACGGTAGTAGCACCGCCGGTAGAAGCGGGCAGCAGCTCGAAGGTCAACCATACACGCTCCGACAAGACGCCATATTCCTTGCTGACATTTACGAACCTTGCCGCGGCACGGTAAAGGCCTGTAGGGCCCTTGGCACCAAGATGTCGGATCTTGCTGTCCACTGCCATCTCACTGAGCTTAACCACGGTGGCCCGGTCACTCTCGACTGTGAAGTCGCCTTCTGCTACAGTGTTGTGCTGCCAATCGAGGGGAAACATGTATTCAGCCTCCATAGCAGAGTGTATAACAATGACACTTGTGTCAGGCTTGTTGGACAGAAGGTGACAGTATAGTTCTGCACGACACCATCCTCTAGACAGCCACGACGGGTAGTTGCAGCGAGTGCCGCGGGTCACATGTGGTAACTCGGGCACCAAGGCCACAAAGACATCCGACGCCTCTACATAGGCCGGAATGCTTTGTACCGCAAGGGCCGCATTCGACCGTGTTACATCTTCGTTCACTCCCTCATGCCGCGCTGTGATCTGCGGGATGGCAAACCAATCCAGAAACAGGAACCCATGTTGGATCTCCTTTCTGATTGCATCTGGAAGTTGAAATGTCGGCCTGCCCTTGATCAGGGAAATCATGTCGCCTTCGACGTGCAAAGACCCTTCGATGATGCCCGTCAGGCTTTGGCGGAGAACGGCTAGCTGCTCTCCACGTGGATCTGGATGTGTGGCCCCAAGCCACTGATGAGACACGAAAATCACGAACATTCCTGCACGGAGTCTTCACTGAAGCTTTTTTTACCCCGCCGGCAGAGTCCGGCTAAGTCTTTATTGGAGCTAAGAACACAACTGGTCCATACTCCGGACATCGAGACGAGCCCTTTTTTGCAAATGGCTTGCAACGTCACGCCAGGACAGCTGACTCGAGCCGAACCCTAAACCCTAAACCCCGTAACACTACCCTCCGCCTGGGCACCATTCGTAGAGCAACCCTTGCTGCTCCAGGGCGCGGTGGGGCATTGGGGCACCCTCCATCTTCCTTAGTGGCTTCGGGATTCAGATAACTCGGATACCTGATTCAGGGCCCTGAAAGTAAGGATGCTATGTGTTACTATTGTCATTCTCGTTACTGGCAACGTAATATTACTGTCAATATACATATGTATGTATATATATATATTTATTTATTACTTATCTATTTATTTACGTATTTATTATTATTGTTGTTATTATTATTGCTATTATTTTTATTAGTAGTAGTATTATTAGTATTATTAGTCTTATTAGTGTTCTATTATCATACTTTCATTACTATCATTATTATTATTACTGCTTGCTTGTGACTTTTGTGATTACATGCTTGTTGAGATAATTACCACGATTAATGACCATGTCCTGGTCTCTCTCGGCCGTCCAACATACCCGAACCGCCTCCGTTTCTGACAAAGGAAGTGTTTCGGACTACAGCCACCGGACCCCGAAAGAACCACGCGATCGATGCCATCTTTAAAGACCCTCATTATTATTAGTGCTAATGTTGTGGTTGTTGCGGTTGTAGTTGTGGTAGCCGCTACGGTCCACAGAAGGCATCTTAGCTGCAACTCTCAAGTTTTGCAACAGGCTCCTTTGCGAAGCGTAAAGGACGTCCTTCTGCTTAAGCCATTTGAATGTGCCTCGGAGCTTCGTGCCCCTGTGGACTGCCGGGTCCCAATTCCCGGGCCTGCTGTGACGCCAAGTTCTGGACGAGCTGGGGGTAAGCGGTAGGTTTTCCACCTTCCCGCGCGGTGGAGGGAGCAGTACTTGTGTTACACCGAGTCTTGCGAAACAGCGGATGGCGCGTGTGCCTCAACGCTTTTCTCCCGAGTCTTTTGTTGACAAGAAGACCTGCCGCACGGAGCATGTCAAGGAGCAGATCCAGTAGTAAGTTGGCCGTCCTCTGGACTTGGGTACTTTGAAGGAAGCTTTCGAGACGAGGCCTCGTTCCTTGCGTTTCTTCGACTTTTCAACTTCTGGACAAGACGCCCAGAGACGGCTGAAGGTCTTTTCCGTGCAGTTTTGCTGGCACTTTGGCTTTGCGCTTCTACGAGCACTCTCCTACAAGAAGGACCCGGATCGCCTGGTTTCTCGCGCAGCCTGCCTCGGAAACTACACCTTTTCCATAGGCAGGATAGACTGCCACCGGTTGCGGGTTGCGACAAAGGCAGTGCGATCGAGTTCCTCCGTCACCGTTGAGAACCTTTTGCGCAGCACTGCTGTTCAGCTGCCAGCGCCTGGGAACAAGTCAGACACAGGAGAGGATGGGCACACCTTCATGGCCTGCAACTCGTCAGCGTCCTCCCAATGCTGGCTCCGATGAGCACCCCAGGGACTTCTCTTGCTACGCGGTGCCCTTGTGGGCCTGGGATGGCTATCCCCTTTTGAGAGGGAAACCTTTCCACAGGCCGCCGGGCCAGACTTTTCTTGAGGACAAGGCGCAGATTGGGACACCGCGGACTCAGGTTTGGAAGAGCAGGCCACCGTCTTCAGTCCCAACACGGTGTTTATTGGTACGGCTCCACGTCACATGGGCACAGTCGTTAAGCGGCGGGGGAGCGGCGGGGGAGCGGGGGTAGAACAACACACGGCGCACCAGAATTTGTTTCTTCTACCAGACTAGCAACAACAACCTCGTTTCCGGAGAGAGGGGGGGTGTCAGAACAACAGACGGGGTTGCAGAATTTGTTTCTTCGTGATTACTGAAACAATATCTGCTGGGGAGGGTCGGCGTGGGCGGTGTGGGTCCTGACAGGCAGGGCGGGGGGAGGGTAGAACAACACACGGGGGACCAGAATTTGTTTGTTCTACCAGACTAGCAACAACAACCTTGTTTCCGGGCAGCATGGGTTGCGAAGAGGAGGTAGAACAACACACGGGGCACCAGAATTTGCTTGCTTTACCAGACTTGCGGTGATGCCACTGACGTTTTGTTCTCGAGCGGGTGCTTGCGAAATCGAGCGTCTACACTCCCCTCCACCCCTCCCCCCTCCCCACCGGTTTCTAGGGTTGCGGTTTGCGTCTTAGGGTTTAGGGTAGTGCTAGGTTAGGCTGTTTCCCTCCTCCCACCCCCAAGCATGATGACGTCAATGGTCTAAGCCAGTCCGAGAAGAGATCA